CTCCGTGTGCCCGCCACCTCCTCCCCCGCCTCTGCCTCCCTCTGCACACAGTGTGCTTCCTGGGCGCCCGTGCGTCCAAATGTCCCTTTTCACACGGACACGGCGTAACGGAGAAGGGTCCACCCAATGACCTCACTTAAACGTAGTCATCCTACTTCCAGGTGAGGCCACGTGCACACCCAGAGGGTTAGGCTTCAGCAGTAACACGGTGCCCACCTTTTGCTGAGATGCTGGGGAAATGGTGCTTCGATGCCGGGAGGCTGACGAGGCCTCGCCACGCTGAAGCCACGAGCCCCCTTATCCTGCCAGAGGGAGACCGTGGTCACAGCAGCCACCGGACAGCGTCGCGGCCCCTCCCGGCGTCAGGGCACGTGAGGCGTGTTTCTCACGATCGTGCCGCACCGTGAACCTTTCTGCATGATTCATGAGGCCTGATGTGAGGCCGTTATTCCGGGGCTCACAGTGGTGAGCGCGTGAGGGAGCCGTCATTTTTATCTCAGATTTTTTCCTGCAACAGGACCCTGAGGCCGCTTCCGGGATGCGCTGAGCGGGGTGAGTACAAGACGCCCTCCTGGGGGCAGGCGCCGAGGCCAGCGGCTCCTCCAGGGGCCGAGGCGGGGACTGGGGGCTTTTCTCGGGCTCAGACTGCGACCCTCTTGGGGACCCCACTCAGGCCTGGTCCGGGCTCCCTGTGCCGGGTGGTCAGAGCTGCAAGTGTGTTTGCAAATAGAATAAAGAGCCTTGGCCTGTCTGGCTCAGTGGATAGAGCACCGGACTGCGGACAGAAGGGTCCTGGGTTCGATTCCTGGTCAAGGGCACGTACCTCGGTGGCAGGCTCCTCCCCAGCGGGGCCCTGGTCAGGGCGCATGCAGGAGGCGACCAGTTGATGTGCTTCTCTCACACCGATGTTTCTCCAGCAGCTCAACAGGGTTCATGACCTTGTAACAGGATGGCCAGGACCACGGGGCCAGAACACGTCGCCCGCTTTACCACCCCAATTCTCCACAGCACCTCCCCCCCTTTGCCAAATAACTCTGCAGAGCCCTCCCACTGCGGTCCCGGCCTTGGCCATGAGACTGGCATGGGCCAACGGCGTGCGAGCATGTGCGACAGCAGCCGGAACGAGGAGGCGCTTGCCCCTCTGCTTCCCGTGGAACGCGCCCCGTGCAGCCGCTAAAGCCCCCACCAGACCAGCACTGCCCAGCTGACCCACCGACAGAGGCCCCGCGGCTGGTTTCAGGTGGCTGCTTTGTTACGCGGCTTTGCAGCAGCAGCAGCTGCCAGGTACAAGGCCTCACCCAACAAATGCCCATCTTCAGACAGGCCAGGGGAGTTATGGTTCTGACAGGCCTGTCGCCATGTCTCCGCCCACGGCTCAGGGACGTGGGCCGGGGCTGAGGGACCAGGACCAGGCCTTGCCACGGGGAGGTCATTTAATGGTGAGTTTACAAAACACACGCGTGCACAGACGGGCAGAGGTCAGCGGGACACTTCCAGCACCAGCGGCGTCTCCTGGCGGCTGCCAGGGGCTGGAGGCCTGGT